CTTCTGAAGCCCAGTAATGTGAGGATTGGATATCTGGGGGAATACTGTATGCTATCATGAGATAGCTTACCAAAGTATATTTTCTCATTGTCTGCCGTTATGTTTCTGCTCCCTTATTCCAATGTATCCCTGACTCTAAGTTTTGAGCAATTCAGGGCAGTAAGATTTGGAAAAACAAACGTCTCCTGCTATGCAGTGTTTGGCCACTTTCTCTTGCTACTCGGTATAACTTCTAGAATATCTACATTGTGATGCTAAATTCTTAATTTATTTTGCAAACACATCAGTGCCATAAGGGCCATCCCGTATTAAAATGTCTAAAAATGGTAATTTGATTAACTGTATTTTTCAGAGTTCAGCATCATTGTGTACTCTTCTAACAATTCGATGCTCCTTTGATCTCCTTAGGACTGATCAACAAACCATTCTAACAGAGACATCTGTTAATGGCCCTGTATGATATGTGATATTGACTGATGATAACTGAAGAATATGAACTGATTTCAAGGATACGATTCTTGAGGATTTCATCTAGAACCTATTGGAGCCAGTCACTGCTGCATTTAACTTCACAAGTGATCAGGACCAGCAACATTTATATTCTAGATTTTGAGACATTGTACAGAAATTCATAAGTGTAAAAATTGCACATTGAAGAATACCAAGAAATTTTTTGCGTATGTTTATATTGTATTGTTCTAAATGATGGGTGATTGTGAAATAAGAACTTGCCACCCACGTAACATTAGTAATGATACTATAGTTAAAAATGGCTGTAAGAATAGTTTTATATAAAAAAGTGAATACACAAATCTAATGTATTTGAGGCATACTATTTGACAATTAGTGACCAAAGTATGTAGCAATTTTCATAATTTTTCACCCAAAACATTTTTAAGTCTATCTTTCATTTTGGCAAATAATTGTTCAGATGCAATGCCCTTTCAATGTTTGGTTGCTTTAGATTTAAAACAATGATTTAAAAAGAAATTTGGTGTTTGACATTTTACAGCAGGCTTTCAACTGGTAATTGTTTTCTGTATTGTTTAAACCAGATCAAAATGTAAGTCTATCGGTAGAGATTTTAAGTATTTATTACTACAGCTTAGTTGACAGATTGATGTTACTGTAAAGCCATATGTTCTGTTAAGTCTTGTTTGCTTGAAACAATACCTTACAGGTGAAACACTAGAATATTTTGAAGTGCACATGGCTTGTTGTGTATTTTTAAGTGACTCACCTTTTTTTAACCCATTCACCAAGATGTACTTTAATTCAGAGCATTATAAAATTACCCATTTTGAAACAATCTTCATATTTAAAACACTGTAATCCTTTTGACAAATCAAATAAATATAACAAATGCCCAGGTTGCTCTTGTAATTAGTTTGTGTTTTAAAGATGTAATGTCTTTAAATATCCAAATTGGGCACTTGAGCATGTTAATTGTTATATTTTCACTGTTTTGATCTGTGTGAAGATTTCATTTGTAAGTTTTAAACCAGTTTTTTTTCATAACTGGGTTGTGTATATATATATAGTGATTATGGAAACTAATTGTAATTTATAATTTTCTATGTCATAAAATTCCAACCGCCTTTTCAAACAGAAGCAATATAATGTATATTGCCACATTCTCTGGTGGAAGGGTTAAAGAACAGCTTTTGCACTTTTAGGTGCAAATCCACTTTTATTTCTTTCAAAAGGAGTTATTCATGTATTTTTACATCATTTGTTTTCCTGACCAGTATTTAAAAGCCAAAAGGATACTCTAAACAATGGCCAATGATTTATTTTAGAAAGTGTCCCAAGCTATGTGCCTAATATTACATTGCATACAGAAATAAAAACAAATGTATACTGGTACTTTTATTATTTCATTACTTCTACGTACATATATGGCCATCACTATTCTGTTAGAATAAGCATTGTTGTGTGAACCTCACAAAAAGGGTAAGAAATAATGAATGAAAGAAATTAAAGGTAGGAGATAAAAGAGAAATTCAACTAAACCTAATTTATATCAACAGCATTCACTGTACTTATCTTTCTATTCTTCCACACCGTTCCTCTTCTCACCATGACAGTGCATTCATACATACATGCTGTTTGCTCTTCAAATTTGGTAAAGATAATTTCCTTCAGGCAGGCTTAACTTCTTAGAGACTGTAGACATCCATATAGGCTTTTTGGCAACAATATGAACATGATTAATCATCTTTCAAGATGCTTTTCCAACTCAGTCTCATCCATAGCCCACAAATTCCTGATGCCTTTGATTCCAAATACAAACTGGGTTCCATCATAGTTTTTCTGAATCATTCAAGGTCTGCTGCCTTACATTCAGATACTGAGGCACATTTGTACAAGCTACATATATTTTGCCTACTAAATGTAGGATAGGTTGGTTGCTATATGGCGAATTCTCAGAAATCCAGAGTTATAAATGAAGTTAAATGGTCTTAAAGTAGATGCATAGTATTTATTTACATGTTTCAGAATGATTGATGGTCAGCATACAGTGTCTATAAGAATTAGTTACTTGCCTATAATGGTGGTTTCTCCAGTGGTCATCAGTGAATTTTCATACATTGATTTCTGCAAATGATCAGAAAGTTTTGGAAATGTTCCAGAGCTGCAGAGTTTTGAAGAAGGCCTCTGCCATTTCTTCAGTTCTAAAGACTGCAGAAGAGTCTGAACCAAGGTGAGACACTCTCCATAAGTTAGAGAAAGGGAGGGGAGATATGAATACTCAGATAACCACTTCTGTAACATCTGTAGCATTACAGAATATTACCAATAAGTAATAATCACAGTCCAACATGGTTTTGTAATCCAGACACATGGGCATAACGAGCTATCTTACTTGGAAGCAACTATGAATGCTACGAATACAACCACATGATTGAATGTAATATTTCACCAAGATTTCAGGCCCAACTGGTAGAAACAGGTGAACTTAGAACTGGAAGGGGCCATTTAGATAACATGGCCCATCTCCTTGCAAGAATTTAAAGTATTCCTAATGGATGGCTGTCCAGCGTTTGCTTGAACATATCTAATGAAGGGATATCTACCATCTTGTTGGGTAACTGTCAAACCTTTTTTCTAACATCAGATTATGTATTCTAATTTAAATCTATTGCATCTTCTGCTCTCAGCATCTGAAGTATGACAAATAACCACCTCTTAAGCTGATAAAAGAGCTGCTAGACAAATGTGTAGGGTGGTGACTGAAGTTGGCAATGCAAAGGGTAGCATCCAAAGTCAGTATCAAAAGACTATGGGATTAAACAGGGATACAGTTATGCCCCCGAATCAGGAAAAGCACAGTGTTTAAGGAACATAGCATGGCTATAAAGGGGAGACTAAAGGGGAGCACCTGCAATCAATGTGTCTTCATTCCAACCCTAGAAGAGAGCTACTGCCAAAGTGAATGTGAGATCAGAATATAAAAATAAGCATATTTTATGCCCTGTCCAGTCTGATGGTGAAAGCCACCATGAAGGTGACAGGTGGCTGTGTTAGGGCAGTGGTAAATGCATCCTTGATGGAAGGGGTGGTGCCACTGGTCTGAATGAGAATGATGTAGATGAGGAGAAGGATATTTCATTGCTGGTTCTGGACAGACTTATTCCTTATTGTTTAGAACTGGTTTGCAATCAATCAAACCTTCTTACAGTCACAGGCAGATACAAATTAAATAGAAATGGGGAAAAAATGTAAGGCTAAAAAAGAAAATAAATTAATTCAATGTTTTAGACATTCCTGCTCACAGGAAAAACAAACTGTCAGAAAATGTCCTAGTGTTAGCTTGAAATCATTATGAAATTCATAACTGGCAAATTAATAGAAATGCTATAAGAGCAGATTAGCATTTATAAATACCTTCAAGGCCTCACTATCTTGGAGAGATTTTTTTTATATATATATATATAATTTTTTTTTTTACTTCTGAGATATGACCTTTCTGGAGGCCAGAAGTAAAGAACAGTTGGAGCCTTGCTCTTATAGGCATGCTACAGTGGGGATGGTGCTCCTGCCGAAAATCTGTAGCTCTGGAAAATTCTTGACAACATATTACTACACAAGTCCTGAAATCCATGTGTGTGTGCCTTTGATTTAACTTCCCAAAACAATACAATGTACTGGATCCATCTCTCTCCCTCTTCCTCTACTTCTGAGAGGCTATCTTGCCATTTTTTTAAGAGAGGCATTTATATCCACACTTCTTCCATGGTTATATGATTATATTTAAAATTACAAAGCAGAGTCCTGACCTCTTTTCAGAATGATCTGTATTTGTAATTTGTAAGGACAGAAATGGAAAAAAACTAGTATTAATTGTTTCTGGATTGACTTTGCTGTGTTTGATGGCATGGTGAAGATACATTGGTTTAGGATGCCATGGAACGTTACGCCCATCTTCCATGCTCCTTTTGAAGCTTTTTGAGCTCAGGTATCCCAAGTTCACAAAGCCCGTGTAGACTCTTCTTTTAACCTCCTCTAAGTGCATTTGGGGTCATGAAAGAAATGAGGCGTTGCAATTTGTTGTCCTTGTGACAATGAAAGGTTCAAGCAGCTGGGCCCATGCATGTTTTACTACAAAGGATATCTTACTATGGATTTAAAATATGTTACCAACTGTTACCAATTCTTCATCTCCATTAAAATATTTTTACCTTGTCTCTTTTGGACATCCTCAAAACATATATCATTCTATTGTACAAAAACTTGTGCCATGTTAATTGTTCAAAGGCTATTTGTTGCAACTTTTTTTTTTTTTTTTGCTGTTTAAAACAACCAGTCACTAATAAATTTCAGTATGCAAAAACAATATGAATGGAAATTATTTTTGCTTCATAATGATAAAAATATTTTGAAAATCACAGAGGCATAAAAGGAAAATCACAGATTGAAAATCACAGAGGCATAAAATCAGTTCAGAATTTATTACAGAAATTGTAACAACTGAAATAACATCAAATATTTCAAAAGTCTTAAACAATTTCAGTGGTCCTTTTTGGTGTTTTATTAGCAGTTTCATCTAAGTAACATTCTGTAAAAGATTAAAATGTGAAAACTTTTCACAGAAAGCTAATTAATAAAAAATGATTTCACCAAGGATTTGACAGCACTCCTTAGTTGCTGATTTCTGTGCAAAATGTTGCATCCTTGCTCTGTGAGGCTGGCACATATTTGCTTTTCATGAAATTTTTCTTAAGCTGGAGTTACGGGAGCTTATGTAAGTATATCCCTGTATAAGGAAAAATTAACAACTTTAATGCATTCCTTGTACAATAAAAATCTAATTCAGCAAATGTATAATTAGATAATATTTTTGAGATTAACCATTGATATAGTGAAATAAAAGCCATAAAATTTAAATAAACCTATAGACATACTTTCCTAGGAATCATAAGGATAAAACAGGAAATACTGCATTTTGTAATATAACAGTGAACATGGCAATGAATTGATTGGACAGTGAATAAACAATTAAAAAATGCCATCATGGTTTCTGCTTATTCTGTGCTAGTGATGAAGAGCTGGCCATTACTGGAACATAAATAGTACTGAAAGCCCAGCAGCAGTGTGTAGGAAGAGGCAGTGGGCCAAAAACAGAGAAGGAAAGCAGAGGAAGAATTTCATTACCTGAAAATGCTTAAAGAACAGTTAAAACAAGGAGGGGTTGGTGCCAGAAACTTTGAACATTAAGCAGATTACAAAAGAGAACGATCAGCTATCAAAGGCAATGGACAGATCAAAACACCGATTTGGCAGTGAGGTTTTCTTGAAGATTTTTAGTGGAGGATTAACAGGAAGAAGAGATGAGGAATAAAGGACAAGTTCAGAGAAGACTGTTTTAAATTTAGCATTGAAGGAAGCAAGGAACTAAGCTAACATTAAGAACAGGAGGTAGAGCAGTCAGGATTACTAGAGCTGGTGTGATATGGAAAAATGCATTGGAGTTACTAATGTGTCAAAATGAAAAGTGTACAGGAAGGCACTTGTTACAGGACACCACATCTGCCTTGTCTGTCACAGCACTTGCCCTTTGGAGCGTCCTCCCATCTGAGATCAGGTTGGCCCCAACCCTGCTGGTCTTTTGGAAAGCTCTTAAAGACCTGGTGTTTTCCTGGGCAAGGGAGTCAGGAGATTAGTGGATGTGCAACCATGATGTGCTGGTTGCTTGGTTATCCCCAGCTGTCTTTTTATGTTTATGTTTTGTTTTAGTTAACAGAATAATTTGTAATGAAGTTTTCAACTGTGTTATCTCCCAGAGTTGCTGTTGCAAGATGGGTGGCCAGATAAATTGAAATGAATGAATCATTATGGAGAGGGTAATTAAGGAGATGCAGAAAGGCCAGACAAAACCATTCTTTATGAAGAACAGATCAAAAGCATCTAAGAAGGCAAGAGGAAGAATTTGTCCAGGATTGGAGACTTCATTCTGGCTTAAAGATTTGTACTCTCTGTCTTCTCATGAGCACAGTTAACGTATTTATAAAACAAGCTACGTTTGGAGTGGTTTCTGCGCTGAACTTGAAACTGTTTTTCAAACAGACTGAACCATTATAGTACAGCAAAGTGAAATAATATGCAGCAGTAACAACACTTTACTCAATTGTTCATAATATAGCCTTCACAGTATTTTAACTAGAGCTGTAAAAAAAGCTGCATCTGGGAATTCAGTTGTCCTTTACCTTTCCTAAATGACAGCCTAGTCACAGTAGTTATTTATCTTGTTTCCAACTGATGTGCAGTTCATTGGCTACATTGCTCTGAAGAGTTAGGAACGTTTAATTTTAAAAAACCCTCCCAGTATTACTTTCTTTAGATCATCTGAAAATTTAATTTTACGAAATAGTTGCAAGTGTTTGTAACTATACTTAAAAGTTTCCAAGAGCTTTTCATCAGGCAAGATGATTAAAAAAGGGGTGGGAAGAACTGTGACTTGGCTAAAGGAACAGGCAGTCCCAGAAAGGCACTTATGGTGGGATTCGGAGCTCTCCCAAATCATGCTGGGAAGATGAAACAAGCAAGTTTGGATTTTTTTTTCTTTAATCGTATAGCCAGTATAAAGAGACTCTTTAGTCTTTACCTATCACCCAAAGCAGGCTGGCATAGTAGCTAGGCATCCTCACATATACATAATTCTGAATAAATGCAATACGCATACTTACTAAATCCTCTGAAATTGTGCTCTGACTGCTATGGTCTGAAGGAAAAATGTGTCCCAAGGTGGCTATTTGTTTAAGAGAAAAACATTTGAAAGCCAGCTGAATTGATTTTAAACATTCCAGTAGACAGATCTACACAACACACAATTTCCCAATATTCATTCTGTTCAGTTATCTCTGCACATTTCCAAAAACTAAACGGAGATGTGCATACACTATCCCTCTAAGGCTTTTATGTTTATAAACTATAGAAAATCCATACTGTTGTGTTGTTTGTTTTGTTTTTGGATCACATAATACTGTTTGGTGCAGTGGACAAGGCGCCAGGCTAGAAACCGGGAGAGCGGGACTTCTAGTCCTGCCTGAGGCACGAAGCCAGCTGGGGGACCTGGGCCAGGCGCTCTCTCTCAGCCCTGGGAAGGAGGCCGGGGCAAACCACTTCTGAAAGTCTTGCCCAGAAAACTGCGGGGACTTGTCCAGGCAGTCGCCAGGAGTCAAAAACTGACTCAAAGGCACCAAAAAAAAAAAAAAAAAAAGCCAACATTTGTTTCAGTTTCTCACATATGTTTGGAAGCCAAAAGAACAATTTAATTAAAAATTGGATAACTACTATAAAAAATAAGTGGATTTTAAGCATAAATAACAGGTTTTTGATAGACATTTGCAATTAGTTTAGTCATTTATTTGAATTACAGGGGAATTTATTTCAACTGTTTTTTAAATAATTACTTCCTATCAACCACGGCTGAAAATGTATACCTTAGAAATAATTTATAAAGGTTAAGGCATTTCCTTTATTAAGATAACTAATATTATTTCTAAGACTCTTAGTTAAGGCTATAATTATATGCACATTTACTTGGAAATAGAGCCATGATAAACATAACTTTAACACAGGCATTAAGACTCTGATCCGAGCACATACTATGTCCATAAAACAATTCTGCCATTATTTTGCTAGAAATAAAGATGATTTTTGCTCCCAGGAGACAAAGGGTGGCAAAAATAGTCTGGCTACATTCATTCTTTCTCGGGGCAGGGGCAGGAGCCTGAATCGCTTTTTAAATTATGCGAGATGACTGGACTTTTCCATTCTTCAATAGTAAAAGCAACCTGCATGTCACAGAGTTTTACATTTAATAAATCATAACACAGATTATAGGTAAACTATACTTGAATTATAAATATATAATTGATTGATTATGTGCCATCAAGTCAGTGTCAGCTCTTAGCGCTTGCCTAGATAGATTTTCTCTAGATCTTTTCTGTCCCCAACCTGGCCCTTCAGTCTTCCAACAGTGCACCCATCACTGCTGTAACTGAGTCCATGCACCTTGCTCCTGGTTGTCTTTCTTTTTCTCTTCCCTTCCACAGTATGCAAAGACCCAGCTCTCTTGAGAAGCCTATAATGCTGAGAAAGGTGGAAGGAAGGAGAAGAAGAGGACTATAATTTCAGTTAGATTCTCTGATATCAAGGATTATAAATTTCCCCTCACCTCTCTGTCTTGTGTGATACTGGCAAACGCTACCACATGTTGCAGTGCTCTTCCGTGCTCCTTCATCTATAGTTCGTATAATTAATAATTTTGTTGCAGTTGAAGTGCCTTGTACCTGGAAGAGTATCATAATACTGTAAGTTATTGTGGAAATCACAAGAGTTCATTTCTGTAGCATCAGTGCAGTGAGCTCTACTTATAATGATATTGAGCTGACTTGAGTCTTTGGATGCCTATACATTTTGCAAATAAATATTTAATCCTAACCAGCAACCTGTTATATTGATGATATTGTTCTTTTAATTAACAGACCAGATATATAAATATATAAAATAAATAAAAATTTGAAAACAGAACATCAAAGCTATCCCACCCTTTCTTCCTCCTTTAATTTTAATTTTATTTCCTCATGCTTTGAGGATGTTTGCTCCCCTATGCAGCTGACTACTTGTTATAAATCATGTAATTATTGTCTAACTACAAAAGTATTTCTTACCTGATGGCAAGTTTTAGGTAAAATGCAAGGTGCACAATAAGGCTGCCCAAACTGACAATCCTGCACAGATCCATGTACAAGAATTACATCATCCATAGCTTCATCATAAATATCACATTTAGTGTGATTTGGTACATCCAGTACATACATATTAGAAAACTGCACACACACTTTGTATGTCCAATCCTATACACCAAAGACATATTATATGAATTAGATGAACATTTATAGAAATTCTAGCTTGGCCATAATTCAAGACTTTCATGCAAGATAAAGTAGAATCTCTCTTAAATCAAGCTTAACTCATGATAACTGCATAGCCTTGTCCAAGATGTTTTTTATACTGAAAAGTATCTTGAAAGATTTTAACTTGTTGCCTTGTTCTGCTTATTATTTCATTCTTTGGATGAACCATACAAAACTTCAGTAAATGTTACTATGTATTTATTTATTTACTAAATTTACAGGCTACCCATCTCATATACATTTACTTAAATTATTTCCTAGACTTGTATCCTAAATCATATCTTGAATATAAGCAGAGAGTTTCAAGTTAAGCTTTCAAGTTATATATTCTAGTACTCAAACTATTTGTCCAATTTTTGATATTTAACTAAAAGAAAAGTTTTGCACAATTATGTTAATCAACAAACTGTATACTAATACATACATATTTAGTATACATTGGCTAAAACCACAATAAAAAAGTATATCAATTCCATTCAGTACTCAAATGTACCTATTCATTCAATAAGATAAAACATGAGATGTTGTATTGATTCCATTTAAATACATAGTTCATTTAAACAATAAACTATTCTTTACAGTTTTAATGCTCTTCAGTATTCTATCAATGTGTCAATTTGTTAATCATCCATAATTAATAATTCAGAGGCTGATGGTTTCCAGAGCTACGGACGACAGGCCCCTAAGGGGCTAGCCATCCCCATACTTGATGTCTTCCCTCCCCACTCCAGGCCAATCGGCAGAGCCAGGTCTTCAAATCCCACCGGCAGGCCAGGAGTGAGGGGGCCAATCTCACCTCTGGGGGCAAGATATTCCAAAGAGCGGGGGCTGCAACAGAGAAGGCCCACCTGGACCCTGCTAATCAGAGCTCTTTTAGCAAGGGGGTCTGAAGCATGCCCTCTCTGTGTAATCGGGTGGGACGGGTTGAAGTCATGGGGAAGAGGCAA